AATATTCACTCATCGTGACAGTAAAATAGGGCATTCTAAGTCAATATACTGCAGTATTTCCTCTCTCAATCAGTAGAAAATATGCTTAACACCCGGTCATGCATGAAAATAAAAATACCGTCATGTACCGTGAAACCGGTATAATTTTGAAAAATACCGTGATATACATTTTTGGTCATACCGCCCAGCACTAAGATTAACTAAGAAATAAATACTAGTACCTAATAATTATTTACTAGCAAAACTAGAAAAGTTTACAGAAACACCTGGAATACACTTTTGTCGAAATGAATAGCTGATATCTAAACCAGTGTTTCCCAACCTTTTTTTAGTCACGGCACCCTTTGGAAATTTTAACAAACTTGTGGCACCCTACAAAATTAATTTTGTCACAATATTTGAATTTCTAACTTCGATATGATAATTTGAAAAGTATAGATATTCGGTACAACAGGGAAGAACTGCAGAATATAATGTCATACAGATATATTTAATATTATTAACATTTTTTGTCCATCAATGGTGGCAATCAGTAGGCTAATTTCTAATGAAGAGACCAATTTATATGACAGACTTTAATGTGGGCTCTTATTCATATGTAAACATTGTGAGATAGCTAGTTATAATGGTAATTAAACAAAGTTTTGATTTTACAGCTGGGTAATTTTGTTGCAGTAGCACGAGATAGCTTGATTTCAAACTTTGAATTGAATAAAAAATGACAAGTAAGCAGTCAGTAATAAAATAAGAACAAATAAAGAAATTAATAATGATAGCACAAATAAAAAATAACGACAAGCCTTCGAATTAAATGAATTGCTTTTTAGTTTTTCAGGTAGGTCTAACACACAATAGGGACTATTAAGAGATTTTTTCTTACCAATTATCCAAATAATGTTTAGTCCTAGAAAGCTATTATTATCAGAACACGCGAGCATAACATAACGGTTAGCAGATCAATGAATGAGAGGGCAGCGTTACCAGAGTTGCCCATATACAAAAAATGTACTTTTATTCTGCAAAAATTCATTAAATTGATTAAAAGTGACAGTAAAGACATTATAATGTTAAAAGATTCAAAATATTTATTTTTCAAACAAATGCTATTCCTTTGAACTTTATTCATCAACGAATCCTGAAAAACCTATATCACAGTTCCCCCCCAAAAAAATATTAAGAAGCACTACTGTTTTCAACATTGATAACAATAAAAAATGTTTCTTAAGCACTACATCAGCATATTAGAATGATTTCTGAAAGATCATGTGACACTAAAGGCTGGAGTAATGATGGTTCAAACTTCGTAGGAATAAATGACATTTTAAAATGCATTCAAATAAATAGTTATTTTAAGTTGTAATAATATTTGACAATATTACAGTTTTTACTCTATTTTTAATCAAATAAATAAACCCTGGGTATCAGAGACTTCTTTCAAAAACATTTTTAAAAACCCTCATCGACCACAAACTTTATATATAGAGCTATTATATATAGAGCTATTTCTAACTGTAAAAATATTTATACATGATGACTATAAGATGTACTACATTTCCAAGACTTTTTCTAGCCTTTTCCCTGATAATTTGAGGCTTTTCATGAGAATCAGCCATTGCTGATAAATGTACTGCAGCATAATCTTGAGATCAATCAATATAGCATCATGAAATGTGAAATAAATATCTTTTATTATTTATTTTCATCATCATTAGCAACACTTTACAAAGTGCCAGCCGTCATAGACAATCTCATGATGTCATCCTGCAAATAGGCCGATCAGTCCTGCCATCAGCAGACCACAGAGCCCCGGTGGGCCTTTATGATGCCAATCATGCTTAGAATTTTGAGTTAAAAAAAAAAAGAGAAAATAAAAATATATATATAAAAAAAATATGCGTACCACTGATATACAGATTTGATATAAACAGGCTTATTGGTCACAAACCAAATTGAATTATAAACATGGCTTTTCTCATACAATAGACAAAGAGGACAAACAACAGATAAACGTTCTGTACCAGCCAGGTGTACGGTCTAAAAAAAAAAAACACGTACATTTCATTTCAGAGTTCTAAACTACTTTTGTTTTTGTCTTGTTTTTTACTTTTCTGTCATCAGTTGTACAAGGCATTAAGTGCGCTGGCAATAATCTCACTCAACCGGAACACAGAAAAGAAGTCTCTTTGAAACAGACAAACACACTCAAGACAATATAACACTCACACGAACAAATACAAAGTGCATGACCCTGGAGTGGCAGCAGTGGCGTGTTTCACTGAATCCAGCCTGTTGGAATTGATGGAGATCTTCTTGTAATTACTTTCATAAATAAACAATGCATTCTGCAGCGATGGAACTCTATTGTTAAACTGGAGAGATATTTCGAAGAAGAAAAATCCAACAATTTATATACAGGCAAATAGTTGAATGATGCCACCTAGTGGTGAAAAAAATCTGACATTACATTCCAGTAGGAAGATTCTCAATTTGCTTTACAACAAACTCCGGCCAGGATACCAGTCATGTTGGTCCAAGTCAGTTTCTTTGGCACCAGTCAGCATTTAGACATTCGGCTCTCATTTTCTAACTCTGAATTGACATAAAACCAGACATCATTTGTCTGTTAATTTCGCTGTATCTTCCACATAAAATTCTAGTGATTGATAGTGACATTTAAGTAGAAGGGTTGCATTATTCTCATTAATTGTCATGTGTAGCTTGAGGCTAATTGTAATTTCTCCATTACCCATATACGATTATATTTTATTATGTATTTTATCAAATCACATAAGTTTGTAAGAAACTTTAATTTTCCAACAACAACAACAAAAAATTATTATAGTAATGCCACATGCTGATCAGAGGGATGTGGGTGGGATGTAATGCCAGAGTAAAGTAAAGCCACAACTTGCACAATAGTGCTCAGATCATCTTTTTTCCTGACAACCCATATACGATTATATTTTATTATGTATTTTATCAAATCACATAAGTTTGTAAGAAACTTTAATTTTCCAACAACAACAACAAAAAATTATTATAGTAATGCCACATGCTGATCAGAGGGATGTGGGTGGGATGTAATGCCAGAGTAAAGTAAAGCCACAACTTGCACAATAGTGCTCAGATCATCTTTTTTCCAGACAAAATCAATATAATGCAATATTTCTATCTGCTGAATGTAAGCTTTTCCATATTTCAAGCATGCCTGCTGCACTGGGGACATCACATGCATGTGCGAGTCGTGAAAATTATGAAAATAAATCTAGGAATTATTTGATTGTTGGATTTTAAATCAGTGAGCGGGGTTGAGGCATCAAAAGTAACTAAGCTGTTTTATGGATGGTAACTAATATTATTACTGAAATCTTATTAGTAATTGGTTACACTACTAGTTACTGCAAAAAGTTATATTATTACAGTAACTAAGTTACTAGTTACTGCCCAACACAGTTTACCACAGACGAGAGCAGACTTTACATCAGTGAGTGACCATGTGACCAACCTAACCAACAAAGCTGGTAACCAGGGCAACCATTTCATCTCATATCGGCATGAACAGAAAACAAGCATTCACACAAGCTCACACGTCGCTTACAAACACACACAGAATGACTGACGAACACTGGCAAAAGTATTAAAATCAGTGTAAAAATCATGGTCTCAATGTGCAAACATTTCAGCATCAAAAGAAAATATTAACAGTACATACATTACAAACATACACTGCCTACTTTTTGTGTAGTATGTCTGTACACCATCTGAACCAGTAATGCTTAAATTAAAATAAATGTGGCTTTAGTTCTACGAACTGGCACTTTAAACCTCTACAGACCAGAACATTTCTTGTTATATTACTGGGTGCGGAGAAATTCCTTCAAATACTGCCACAGAAATCCAGGGTTGGCAACGGCGGGCCAAAATCACATGGCATCATAAAAGAAAGACTTAAAAAAATAATAAAAATAAAAAAAGCTGCAAGGTGCAAGAGCAAACAAAGTTGGCCTGCCCGTGTTTAAATGACTGAAGGGGGCCTCGGATAGAGAACCGCTAATAAAGTAGATCTATTGTGTGAGCAGGTCATGTCCTTCACTCCCAGATATCATGATCCGGAACAGCCGCATGAAATCATTCCTAAGTAACTCTACACAATGGAGGTAGACTTTCGTAGTCACCAACAGAAAACTGTAAACGTTTGCTTGGAGTGTGAAAAATGAGTACCACGTGCAGTCTCATTGCTATAATTACCCTTACTGACAGCAAAAAGCTAGTTCTTTTATGTTATCACAATCTATCTGCCCGGGGTAGTTTACGCTGCTACAGTTGCAGTGTTCACACAGGACGTGTTCTTACACTGAAACAGCTAGACAGATCACATTTGAAAAGAATGTTTATAGATGCGTTCATTAGTTCATTGTTTTAAAATTAACAATGAGAGGCAGGCACATGGGTCAATGGCAAATAACAGCATTAATGATTCTTAAAAATGCACTTTTTATATTCATGTTGGTTTCATGAGTTAAGAGTTTAATTACTCTAAAAATGGTGTAACCAATAACATTCCTTGAATACATGTGAGTGTACATTTTAATCATTATTATATTTAATTATATATATTATTTAATTGTAAAAAATAGAAATACATTTTTCAAGTAAAAAAAGATTTTATTAAATTCATTATTTTTTTTATCACATTTTTATTAATTCAACATCAAATTTTTTGGGGTACTAACACAACATGCCATTTTACAACCTAAATTATCCTGTCATGAAAATAGATATTGTCATAAATTTTCTAATATTTTAAGAGAGGAGGGGATAAATGGTGTAACCAATAACATTCCTTGAATACATGTGAGTGTATGTTTTAATCATTATTATATTTAATTATAGATATTATTTAATTGTAAAAAATAGAAATACATTTTTCAAGTAAAAAAAGATTTTATTAAATTCATTATTTTTTTGATCACATTTTTATTAATTCAACATCAAATTTTTTGGGGTACTAACACAACATGCCATTTTACAACCTAAATTATCCTGTCATGAAAATAGATATTGTCATAAATTTTCTAATATTTTAAGAGCGGAGGATATAATATAATTTCCTGATTTAGGTTTTCTTTTCTTGTATCTTTCAGCATGTTGCTTTTAGCACAGCTTTGATTTAGCAAACAACCGTGAAGAAGTTTTAAAATATTTTTTTTTTAATAAAAAAGCATAAAGAATAAACCTTTACTTAAGGTTTTCTTTAAAAAAAAAATTTCTTTTAATGCAGTTTTTTCTTCATTATATCAGGACAGTTGTATCACCCTAACAAATTTGATATTACGCTAAAAAAAATCTAAATTTATTTTAATTCAGATATTAATACATGTATTTTAATTTTAAAAAGTATGTCATTAATGTCAACGTAATGTTATTGACCCACATGTGTAAAATAAACCAACAATTTACAGATTGCACAGACAGAATATAAGAACGTGTCCTGTGTGAACGGACCATAAGTATGAAGCTTATTCTTATTCTCAGGTCACTATAAGCAAGCAATATGAAATCACTGCTTAAATTTTAATTGTGTTTCCATTCTATTATTAAATTAACATACGCGTATGCTAACTCACTAGTACTATACTCTCAATATTTATTTTTTAGGGGGAAAATAAATAGCTTTCTAATTAAAAAACGGCAGATTGTGACACAAGGAATAAAGAAAACAAACCTAATGGATTAAGGAAGGAGCAAGGGTAACCCCAAAAGGTACGTAAGCATGACATCTGAAGGCAGGCACTTCAGCACAATGTGGAGGAAAGATCTCTGAATGAGTATTGAACAATAACATGACCACTCACTAAAATATTCAGGAGCGCTCACTAGCAGGGAGTGTGTAACCAAGTGCTGACAGAGTGTGAACAGGTGAAACGTCCTGTCCCAAGGCATCGTGGGATAGCGAGGTTAATTTATAGGCAAACCGTTAAGTACTATCAAGTGCTGCGTATTGTTACGATTTGTGAAATTCTACATATTCTGAAACCTACGGATATACATTAGAGTGAGAACTTCTGACGAGAACAATTGGAACATTAGACGTCTGGTATGGAAAACATCAGCAGAAAGGATCCAGGTTGTGTAGTCTTCACTAGAAGTGCACTTACAGTGTCAACTTTCATACTGAGAGCAATCCATTTCTATATTCAAAACGCTCTATGTTCTTGAGATTTATACTGGAATCAGAGCGATTCTTACTGTAAAATGTCCAGGCACTAAACCCTGGCTGTGTGGTCCGGGTTTTTTTTTGGCTTTGGTGAGTGAGTGTGTATTCAACCTGCCTACCTGATCAGATTGAAGTGTACGGCACTGTGTTAAGAGAATGCACAGGTGAACCTGACCCGAGATCAGTTTGCCAGCAAAGGGACCAAAGGGGGAAAAGGCAGAGGCTGCTTATGCCGATCTAGAAACAGTATGAAGAGCCGAACTGTCCTAAATAATTCCTGTACAGACCAAAGTCAGAACGACTTGTGAGTAGCTGTGCATTAAACTTATAAAATTCTAGAAAAATGATCGGACACTTAAAACAGAGCAGAATACAAAAAAAAAAAGAGGAAGGAGACGGTGTAAAAAGGCACACAGTAAAAACAGAAACAAAGCAGAAACTGGTACAAGATCCTGACGAATTCTAGAGCTAGACAGAGCGAATACACTCCAGTGTGTGGTTGCAATCAGAAGGTGAGAGAGAGCAAACGTAAATGTTTGTACAGCATAGTGAGTAAATATTCTACAGTAAGATTTTTGATCAGAGTCCATGTACCTGTGTGTATGTTCTAAGAGGACTGTGCAAGAAAATGAGAACTTTAAGAAGCCATGACAGCCGGGCTGAGGAGTCCCTTGAATCCGGTCATCTATTCGGTTTTGTTTCCTTTTACCCTTTAGCAGCGTATTGGTGTACCTGCCTTGCTCTGGGGTTGACATTCCAAGATCTTCCTGCATTAACCCAGTGCATCCAGAACCCAATCAGACTCCCCAGATCAAAACATTACAAATGAATAAAAGAAAGCCTTTAAAAGACAACATCCTCTAGTTTTTTGGGGGGTACCGATATTCGTTAGTCTTTAGGGGTACTTACCCGAGTGAAATCAAGGTGCAATGTTTTCATACGGAATCAAGCTGCTCCAAATCACCCTCTTGCCCCAGCAGAGGTGTGAGATTAGGCCACTGCCCTCTTCGCTATGCGCTCCAGTCAGGGTAGGGGCTCGTAGGCCTGCTGGGAGGAGTCTCAAAAGGGAGTGGTCCTACAGACACTTATGGAAGTCTCTGAGTGGTCAGAGATGGAAGGGGGAGTGGCTAGTGGACAAAAGTGTGCCGTAATAGGTCCTCAGCAGAGGGACGCTGTTTAGTCTGCACAAAAATCCGTTTAAGGAAATCGCGGCAGTGGTCCGACACGTGAGGCGGCAGAGTGGGGTTGGTGGGCTGTGTGGCGATTTTAAAAATGGCTGCCATTGCTTCGTACTCCGCCCAGGGCGGCCGCTGAGTCAACATCTCCACCACGGTACAGCCGATGCTCCTGGAATCAGGGTGGTATTACCATCATTGTTAATGTGATTGTGAGACACAAAAACATATACATATCTTTTCTAATAGTGTTCTTTCAATGTGCTAGAAACAGGACAGAGTCTTTTACGCTGACCCCGGGCCATCAGACGTCCTTATTGTCGAGGCCCACAAGTATCACAATTTCAGCTTAAAAGGTTTAAATTCGTACAAGTTAAAATAAAACGTTTGAAAAATAATAAATTATTTTTAAAAGTTTATCTGGGCGAAAACGACATTTTTACCTCAGACCTCACATGCGTTTTCTTCGTGTCAGTTGCGGCGAGTTCAAAAATGACCATGCGACTTGTGCCAGTGCAAACCGTCTTTTGGCGTTAAAATATTACAAAAATTATTACGATTATTTTGGTCAATATTTGGTCAATATTGTAATCCCGATTATTTAAAACGATTATTAGTGGGCCATATGACCAAAACTTTATATGAAAGATTTATTTAAAGATAGTGATATATATCAAATATATATTTTCTGTAAATAAGGTTGCTATGACATCTACATTTTAGAGACCAGTGAAATTTAACAATTCTCAATACCACAGCAGAGTACTAAGGTAACTAATATTAGTAAAAAAAAAATCCTCAAATTATTGACAATAATTAAACTGTAATAACAAAAGCAAAGGAATACAATAGAAAAAAGATAAAAATGAAACAAACAGTGCTTCAAGTCTAAAGTATTCAGTTAACAGCCTACTACATAAATTGAATAATCGAATGTAAAATAAAACCGCATAGTCTTCACTGTAAGAATTAAACTTCCTTTGTTTCTTATTAAAGCTACAAAAGTCCTTCAGTCAAGAGCAGTGAGTGATTTTCTCTTTGTCTTTTGTTGTTTGATTAATATTAAGCACAAAGAAATTTAACAATTCTCAATACCACAGCAGAGTACTAAGGTAACTAATATTAGTAAAAAAAAAATCCTCAAATTATTGACAATAATTAAACTGTAATAACAAAAGCAAAGGAATACAATAGAAAAAAGATAAAAATGAAACAAACAGTGCTTCAAGTCTAAAGTATTCAGTTAACAGCCTACTACATAAATTGAATAATCGAATGTAAAATAAAACCGCATAGTCTTCACTGTAAGAATTAAACTTCCTTTGTTTCTTATTAAAGCTACCTACAAAAGTCCGTCAAGAGCAGTGAGTGATTTTCTCTTTGTCTTTTGTTGTTTGATTAATATTAAGCACAAAGTCAGCAGCAGGAATATAGCCTACTGTCACTTTAAGAGCCGCACGGATGCAATTTACTGTTACACATGTATTTTCATTCTCAACTGTTTACATTCACTTATTACATAACCAACAAGAGTTTACGTGAATAATCACCAAACGCCGCATTTTGACACATTTTTGCGTATATTTGACTGTTTAGGCGCACACCTTAAGCTAAAAGTTGACTTTACATGTCCTTGTTCTGTTCGGTCTCTGAGCGCATGCACAGAAATCCTCCTGAGGAACAGTGCAAGTTCTCTTTCGCGCTTTTAAAAACATAAATAAATCTAATCAACTTTAATAAATCAAGCACGTCCCATTTTGCAAAAGTCACGATACATTTTTACTGATTTGCACATGAAATCGGGCTTTAACTGAGGATGCAAGTGCACCACTGGAAAGGGAACACAATGGGGCGCAATATTCGTTTTACCCCGATTATAATATTTTGATAATCGTTGGAGGCCGAAATCGAAATCAAAACTCTATTTCGATTAATTGCACAGCTCTCCAACACTGTAAAACCTTTAGAAAACAAAGTTAGCATACAAGAACGTGTGTTCAAGTGAATTAACACATACTTACCCCAGGCATGTACTCCATAAAGATAGAAAGAGTTCTTTCATGCGTGTCCCGCAAGCAGCCGTAGTACTGAACAATGCGCTCATGGAATAGATTTTTCAGCAGTTGAATCTCACACTCCAGAGCACTCACCTCCTGAACACACATACAAACCACAATAAGTGCAAAGGTTTACTAGACACCACATTAACCTTACAAAGCCTGAAAAACACTGTTCACCTTGCTGGTTTCTGGGCTATCCGGATCAAACTGCACCTGTTTAACAGCCAGTTCTCTGCCAGTGTCTGCATCGTAGCATAGAAACACTCGCCCGAACGCTCCTTGCCCCAAAAGCTTCCCTAGACGCCAGTTTGTGGGAGCCCGAGGGGCTATACACAAAGAAAAGAGACGATTTCCCCTCTGCTTTTTGACCAATTAATTTAAATACATTTTCTAGTCCTTCATGTTTTGCTAGATTTATAATCTATTAAAGATTTCTATTTATAACATTTCTATTTTAATGGGTTTTAAAATGTAATTTATTCCTGTGATGACAAAGCTGAATTTTTCAGCAGACTTCCAGTCTTCAATGTCACATGATTCTTCAGAAATCAGTCTAATATGCTGATTTGGTGCTCAATTAACATTTCTTATTATCCCAGTTTAAAAAAAACAGTTATGCTGCTTGATTTTTTATTTAGTTAGTAAGCTTAAAAGAACAACAGACTGGAACAACAGAAGATGTTCTCCACTAAACCTAAATCCACTCACAGCGGCTTGGAGGGCTGATGTCCATGACTGAGAGAGTGGGGTTAGAGCTGGGCTCTATGTCGCTGCCACGGCGTCTGCGCCCCGGTTCCTCTAGCTCAGGAGTGAAGATGCTGCTTCCACTGCTAGTGCTGGGGCTCTGCTGCTCAGTTGGACTGAAACTTACTGGAGAACGAAATCCATGAGCTTGTGTCCGCCGCGCCCTGGGAAAGGTCTTTCGTCCTGAGTGGAGAAAGATGTTCCAATTTAAGAATAGCGTGATTTTGCTTTTTGGAAAAATTAACAAAGCTTCTGTTTATGGCCATGGTCCAACATAACCTCACCATCGCTGTAGTCGTGCAGACCAAACGAGATGGGATATCGCCTAGGATAGGTTCCTCCCTTCGCTGTTTTTTCAAACACTGGTATGTCATACTCTGTGAAACATGGTAGAAACAATCAAGATAGACTTAGGAATGTTAGTATTCATGTGACATCAAAGCAGAAAGATCAGCAACAGCTTACCAGGGAACTCTTGATGGTTATCAGGGTAGCTCAGGGCTCGAGGCATACGGGATTTGGGATAGGTATCACTGTAAGAGATCCATGAGAAAAAAAAAAAAAACACTTTTTTTTTTTAACTTACCCCAGGCATGTACTCCATAAAGATAGAAAGAGTTCTTTCATGCGTGTCCCGCAAGCAGCCGTAGTACTGAACAATGCGCTCATGGAATAGATTTTTCAGCAGTTGAATCTCACACTCCAGAGCACTCACCTCCTGAACACACATACAAACCACAATAAGTGCAAAGGTTTACTAGACACCACATTAACCTTACAAAGCCTGAAAAACACTGTTCACCTTGCTGGTTTCTGGGCTATCCGGATCAAACTGCACCTGTTTAACAGCCAGTTCTCTGCCAGTGTCTGCATCGTAGCATAGAAACACTCGCCCGAACGCTCCTTGCCCCAAAAGCTTCCCTAGACGCCAGTTTGTGGGAGCCCGAGGGGCTATACACAAAGAAAAGAGACGATTTCCCCTCTGCTTTTTGACCAATTAATTTAAATACATTTTCTAGTCCTTCATGTTTTGCTAGATTTATAATCTATTAAAGATTTCTATTTATAACATTTCTATTTTAATGGGTTTTAAAATGTAATTTATTCCTGTGATGACAAAGCTGAATTTTTCAGCAGACTTCCAGTCTTCAATGTCACATGATTCTTCAGAAATCAGTCTAATATGCTGATTTGGTGCTCAATTAACATTTCTTATTATCCCAGTTTAAAAAAAACAGTTATGCTGCTTGATTTTTTATTTAGTTAGTAAGCTTAAAAGAACAACAGACTGGAACAACAGAAGATGTTCTCCACTAAACCTAAATCCACTCACAGCGGCTTGGAGGGCTGATGTCCATGACTGAGAGAGTGGGGTTAGAGCTGGGCTCTATGTCGCTGCCACGGCGTCTGCGCCCCGGTTCCTCTAGCTCAGGAGTGAAGATGCTGCTTCCACTGCTAGTGCTGGGGCTCTGCTGCTCAGTTGGACTGAAACTTACTGGAGAACGAAATCCATGAGCTTGTGTCCGCCGCGCCCTGGGAAAGGTCTTTCGTCCTGAGTGGAGAAAGATGTTCCAATTTAAGAATAGCGTGATTTTGCTTTTTGGAAAAATTAACAAAGCTTCTGTTTATGGCCATGGTCCAACATAACCTCACCATCGCTGTAGTCGTGCAGACCAAACGAGATGGGATATCGCCTAGGATAGGTTCCTCCCTTCGCTGTTTTTTCAAACACTGGTATGTCATACTCTGTGAAACATGGTAGAAACAATCAAGATAGACTTAGGAATGTTAGTATTCATGTGACATCAAAGCAGAAAGATCAGCAACAGCTTACCAGGGAACTCTTGATGGTTATCAGGGTAGCTCAGGGCTCGAGGCATACGGGATTTGGGATAGGTATCACTGTAAGAGATCCATGAGAAAAAAAAACAAAACACTTTTTTTTTTTAACTGCAAGCATGAACTGTACATTACTGTTCAAAATTTTAGGGTCAGTCAGATTTTAGAAGTCTCTCATGCTCACCAAGGCAGCATTCATTTGATCAAAACAAAAAAAACAAAAACAGCAAATATTATTTGATATATTTAATTTATTGAATATTTACTATTTAATACTACTAATATGGTGAAATAATTACAAATTCAAATAATGCTTTTTCTATTTTAATACATTTTAAAATGCAATTTATTCCTGTGATGCAAAGCTCAATTTTCAGCAGCCATTACTGTAGTCTTCAGTATTACATGATCCTTAGAAATCATTCTAATATGCTGATTTGTTGCTCAAGAAACATGTCTTCTTATTATTAATGTTGAAAACAGTTGTGCTGCTTAATACCTTTCCTGACATACTAAAGGAATGCTGTGAATATAAGTTCAGTCTCTGGGCAAGACACTGTCTTCTATAATAGTTTGATTGTGGCTGCATGTGTGTGTGGGTTAGTTGTTCACCTGTCAAGTGGACTGTCCAATGAAGGACAGCTGCCTGATGCTGAATTCTCAGGACTGCTCATAGACAAAGGGTCCAGCATCTATAGAGAGAAAGACAGGAAAAGATAAATGAGCCATCAGGACACAGGCTGATTATGCTACAGATTAGTACACCCACATCAGCTCAACCAGATGTGTTAGACTATGTACCTGGTCCATGCTCTCTGGTATGAATTCGCCCTCACTGTTGATGCTTGTGAAAGAGCCGTTTCTGGCCACCTGCTGCAGAGCATCAGGAATATAGCCTGGAGGAGGAGAGCTACGATCGGTTGACTGAGAACCTGGAGAAGCAGCAAGAGAGCAATAAACACCTTACGCACTTTTATAATCTGAATAGAATGGAGTCAGGTAGATCAAGATGTGGGATTGAAAAGTAAAAATGATTTGTCACATCGACCCAAATGGAAAGTCATTTCAGAAGAAGAGTAAGTCACTATATTTTGCTAAAACATTATGAAGATATTTTTTCTTTCAAAGAATGTGCATTAAGAAAGCAAATGGGGTCAATTTCGATTTAATGTTGAGTTATGTCAAGGACACAATTCAAAAACACTGAATGCAACCCACCTATGAGTGCCAGCATGTTCTTTTTATCTGCAACACTAAAGTCTGTGTTGTCCAAGTTCTCATGTGCTGGCAACAGGTCCTTACTGGAGACAGAGTTCTGAAAGCACAAGAACATTTGAAACCTTTTAGCTTTTAGATTAGGTCACAGGTCTCAGACTAGAACTTTTTCTCTGAACGTGGCTTATAATGCCCACTGACTTGAGTACAGGAGGGGAGCACCAGCAGGATTTTTAGGCTCTTCATATGCACCGAGCGATCCAGCAGCTCCACAGCTTTATCCAGATCATCCTGAGTACTCAACGGAATCACAAGCTACAGGAGAGAAGGAAAACAAAGAAAACAGGCATATATGAAGACATTCAAATAAATATATCAGAAATTTAACAAAGCTGTAGCATCTTTTACCTCATTATTGGTGTAATGCAGGTCCATGCTCTGCCCAAACGCTACTTTAGCTTTGGCGCTCAGATCTTCCAGACTGACAGGTCGAGGGAACTGCAGGATCCTTAAGTAACATATAATAAATCATAAACCAATCCAGATCATCCTGAGTACTCAACGGAATCACAAGCTACAGGACAGAGAGAAGGAAAACAAAGAAAACAGGCATATATGAAGACATTCAAATAAATATATCAGAAATTTGACAAAGCTGTAGCATCTTTTACCTCATTATTGGTGTAATGCAGGTCCATGCTCTGCCCAAACGCTACTTTAGCTTTGGCGCTCAGATCTTCCAGACTGACAGGTCGAGGGAACTGCAGGATCCTTAAGTAACATATAATAAATCATAAACCACACCATCATCTGCTACTTTGACAGAATCAAGCAAATGGTTCCTCCTAATGCATTCTCTAATTATAATAATTACAAAATTAGGTTTGTATTAAAGCTTTCTAAGCTATAGTGAACGCAAGTGTTGGGGAAAGTTACTTTTCAAAAGTAATGCATTATGATATTGCACTACTCCATAACAAAGTAACTAATTGCATTACTTAGTTACTTTTTATGGAAAGTAATGCATTATGTTACTTTTGTGTTACTTTTTATCACCTGGGGCGGGCTTGCTCATTTATTTTTTAATAACAAAAAAACCCAAAGTTATATTTTTGCCAACTTTAAAGGCATTTTTAAACCAGTAGTGAAACTAATAAGCTTCAGGCTGAAGGAAGTACCTCTGCACCTCATTCCCAATTTCTCTCAACCTCTTGACAGGAGAGGTGTCAGTGAATAAAAGGGAACTTGCATTACTTAATTGAAAAAGTAACTTCGATATTTAATTGTAAATTTAAAAGTAATGCGTTACTTTACTAGTTAACAAATAATAAATAAAAATCATTCATTCATATTCCGACGTGAAGTCTATTCTAGCAGTGTTAGATTAAGTCTTTGCATACACACACACACACAAATACATGAAGACACACCCAGAAGCACACAAACACATGACTACCCCAAAACTACATCACTAATTAACTAACGCTAACTAAAGGAGCCCCTTAGTTAATTTGGCTTAGAACAAAACATTTTATGTAAAGTGATCCTAAAGGACTGGGAATAAAAATGCAGGTTTGGACCAGCTAACACAACATCCATTACACAGCATCTACAGGGCTCTGTCAGACAGGTTTAATTAAGAGAAACCTCTAGAGGGAAGTGCTAAAAATAGGAAGTGATGTGGAGCAGAAGCAGGAATTGTGGTCACTACCTCTTCTCTCCTCGGTACTCAAACTTCACCCTTACATCATTCTGTGGACAAGAAAACACAGTTTTACCCATCTATCAATGCACACCGTTTCTTATTCACAACAGTATGAAACAGCACTGGGCAACACAGACATATTCAATATAAATTTATATTCACAATTATATTTGTGTGCAATAGAAAATAAGCAACAATGTGAATATTGCAATGATTTTAGTGCACTTTTTAATTTGCCTGTGACTGTGTTGATAGATTAGTTTCACAATCCATCCTCGTCTCACAGCTGTTAGTACAGAGTGCCTCTTTTTGAAAAATTCTGTAAAAATTAAAGGGGTAGTTCACCCCAGTAAAATTACCCCATGATTTACTCACCCTCATACGGAGCCCCTAAAGGGACCTTTGCAAAAAAAATAAAAAATACACAGACTATCGTGTGCGCACAAAAAATGTTTCGCGAGCTCACGCGTTACAGTTTCCGGTTGCATCACTCTCTGCCGTCTTACAATGAAGAAAACAAAAGCATGGAATATGTAATATGGCGTTATTTTACTGACAAATGTCGAGAGTGCACTGTTGTAGCGCGAAAGTACATTAATATGATGTGCCAGTGCGAATCTCTCCTCTCGCTCAAAGTGTGCGTGCTCAAACTGCGTCCTGTGCGCTCGCAAATCTCTCCTTTGCGCTAGAAATTAATTATTTTCGCACCTGGACTAAACGTTGTCAAAGGTTATCAACCAATCAGACTTCCACGACTGTCCGATGAAAATGCTACGTGAAATCTAACTGGCTGAGAGGGAACTGCACCTGGAATTCTTTTGACAATCATAGATGGATCTACAATTTCTTTACAATTTAATAATATTTAGCTATATTAATCAAAAGTATATTAGAAATGGCTAAGAATGGGGTGCTTGGGTGATTTGTACAAAGTAGCCTAATGCGCTGTCCAGTCGGTGGCGCTAGCAAACATGTCCTCCCTGCGCTGTCAAGACGGTCGCGCAGCTCGGTCCATTGAGCCGCGCCTTTGACAGGTCTGCGCGGCACGAACTCTGTAACATCACGCTGTTTCGTCCCGCTTTCGGTGTGTTTGGCTTCCCATAGTTTCTCGTGAGCACGCGATAGTCTGTGTATTTTTTATTTTTGCTTAGGTCCCTTCAGGGGCTCCGTACCCTCAAGCCATCCTGGGTGTATATTACTTTCTTCTTTCAGATGAATATAATCGGAGTTTATTTTATTTTATCTTCCCAGCTTAATAATGGCAATGTCATTATAAGGCTGGGAAGAGCCAGGACATGTTTTAATATAACTCCAATTGTATTCGTCATATATATATATATATATATATATACACCTAGGATGGCTTGAGGGCGAGTAAATCAGGGGGTAATTTTTCATTTTTGGGTGGACTATCCTTTTAAAGTTGATCATTTCCAGTAATGAGTTCAAATTTTCTATTTCAAGAAATGTATTCAATGAATGCATTATCACTGATGATCACTGAAGTCTCTGTGGTACTTTTCCTTTATTAAAATGCTTTTGTAAAATACATTTAGATAAACTGCTTTTTATTACTATATATTTATTAATACATCTATATAAATTTATAAATATATAATGATTAAAACAAAGAAAATGTGGTTACTTTCACCAGATTGTTTCAGTATTTTCATCTTACATTACACATTTTGGATCTTCTTACGCTGTTCAACACAGGCTGTTTGATTTAAATGAAAGGTTCCTCAGACTAAAAATTAGTACATAAATACTTTTTTAAAAATATGCAAAAAAAAATTTCAATGTTTAAAAAAAACATTTTTAACTACATAACCCTCTAGTATGAAGGCATGTGTACAGCTAAATGATGTCATCACCCTTATTTAACTTTGGTCACATTTACAGTATCCACCTTATTTTTCAACGTGGAAGTAAGCCGTTTTCTGTGAATGTGCGAGACTTCCGGTTCATTAGCCACTGTAGGGAAATAATGAGAAGAATAACAAAGTGCAGAAAACGGTAAAACTTTTTTTCCACCACAAACCAGTGTGTTTATAATTAAGATAATACATTAAAATGATATGGTAAGACACACCAGTTTGCAATATCAAGCAGCAAATCAAGCTGTTTTGTACAAAAATAGCTGGAAGCGTATGACACCGGAAGCCAGACACATTACATTTACAAATGACCGCGCCCACTCTTATGGGAAAAATTAGGTAGATATAAGTGACATAAGTGGTAAATGCTGTAGTATAACTTAGTGTTTTATTCTACACTGAGATAACAGTTTTGTTCTTAAAATTTAAAAAAAGTAGCTGGTGCTGATGTGAATAACAAAAGAGTCAAAGCAGACCTGGTTCTTGGGAGAGGAGGCCTTGGGTTTGCCCAGGTCAGACAGACCAGATGGTCGACTGGATCGATGCAGCACCACCAGGTCTTGCATGATGGAATTCAGGGCCTCCTGCTCATCTACAAGGTATTTTTATTACAAATTCTCATAATTATGGATTCTCAATATAAACACACATTTGCATCCTTTGTACTTCTAATACATGAAAATTATTTCAGTATTTTGACAATTTTTTAAAAACTGAGCACATACCCATTTTCAGAAATCACCGGTTCACCCAGGAGTAAAGGAAAGAGGATTCTCCCATGAAATGGGATCCTTTCTCCTGCACATGAAAAAAAAATTTTTATTACATAAATAATAGCATTATTTATTAATAAGATTAACGTGAAATATTTGTGCTAAGTGACAATAAACCATTCAAAATCTATAAAGACTACAGTGAAATCACTGCCACTAAATTGTTCTCTGTTACCACAGAACAGCAAAAAGTTAATCTTTATACAGCAGCACATTAGAAAGCAATGCTGTTGGATATGAAATTACAATAAGAGAACTTTTTGTTTGCAATTACTCAGAATTATCACATCACACTAGAATCATAGTCTCGACTCTCGTTATAGGAATAGTTCACCCAAAAATGAAAATTTGCTGAACAATTTACTCACCCTCAGGCCATCCAAGATGTAGATGAGTTTGTTTCTTTATCGGAACAGATTTGGAGAAATGTAGCATTACATCACTTGTTCATCAATGGATCCTCTGCAGTTAAAGGGTGCAGTCAGTATGAGAGTCCAAACAGCTGATAAAAACATCACAATAATCCACAAGCAATCCACACCACTCCAGTCCATCAATTAACATCTTGTGAAGTGAAAAGCTGTGTGTTTGTATGTAATAAATCCATCATTAAGGTGTTTTAACTTTAAAGCATTGCTTCTGGCCAAAATATAATTTTCTATAGTATATATTCTATAATCTAAGAGTCTATAATCCATAATAAGACTTCCTCTAGTTAAAGAAAAAACAACAAACAAACATTCGCCCCATGTTGTCCTCTTGTCATCAAAATATTTGTTTATAAATGTTTTGGAGTTTCTTTATCGGAACAGATTTGGAGAAATGTAGCATTACATCACTTGTTCATCAATGGATCCTCTGCAGTTAAAGGGTGCAGTCAGTATGAGAGTCCAAACAGCTGATAAAAACATCACAATAATCCACAAGCAATCCACACCACTCCAGTCCATCAATTAACATCTTGTGAAGTGAAAAGCTGTGTGTTTGTATGTAATAAATCCATCATTAAGGTGTTTTAACTTTAAAGCATTGCTTCTGGCCAAAATATAATTTTCTATAGTATATATTCTATAATCTAAGAGTCTATAATCCATAATAAGACTTCCTCTAGTTAAAGAAAAAACAACAAACAAACATTCGCCCCATGTTGTTCTCTTGTCATCAAAATATTTGTTTATAAATGTTTTGGACTGTTTTCACTTGATCAAAGTTGCTTGATCTGTGCATATTTCTCTCCTCCTTCAGATGAGATGACTTTTTCACTGGTGAAGGCAATTTTATGGATATAGGACTCGTATTTTAGCTGGAAGCAACAGTTTGAAGTTAAAAACGTGTTGATGTTTATTACAAATACGCAGCTTTTCACGTCACAATACATGACGGTACGTCACAATACATGATGGTATAATGGCACCCATTCACTGCAGAGGATCCACTGGTGAGCAAGTGAGGCAATGCTAAATTTTTCCAAATCTGTTCTTATGAAGAAACAAACTCATCTACATCTTGGATGGCCTGAGTGTGAGAAAAATTTCAGCAAATTTTCATTTTTGGGTGAACTATTCCTTTAAAAGACCCATCTACTGTACATCAGCTAGCAAAATCTGTCAAAATCATGAATGACGCTAGACGACAGCAGCAGCTAGTTTGACTGATATACACTCATAAGTATTTGATTTAAACTCACAAAATCATGACATCTAAAGCACAAGTAAATGTCAAGTTACAGATAGCTTATCAGATGTCATAAGTCAAGACAATGTTCTACCACATTCATGACCATGTATGACAGTTTAAGAAAAATATAGTAACAACTCACAAAATTATACACACGATATGACAAATAGTAAAAGAACATTTCAGTTAATGTATAGATAAACTCTAACGGCAGGCAAAGCTAATAACCAAGCTAACTGGTTAGCTCGCTAGCACCTGTCAAAACTATGGCAGGTCAAAGTAACCCAAATGTGATTACATACTAATATTTTACTAAGTTTACAATGGCATTTAGTATTCAATTTAGTCTCGTCTGCACCAAGACACAATGCTAACTATAACTACGGCCCTAAATCATATTTATAAACACAGTTAGCCGCTTAGCTCTCTAGGCCAAAATTAGCATTGAGCCAAGATGCTAACGAGCCACTTTGCGTTTTAACAGCTAACAGAGTGATTTTGACGGGCTTGTGTAATTAAAATGTCTTTATTATGCAGTCTCCTAATAAAACAGATAAAAACAAAAAGCATTTAATCACCTGGGTGCCCTCGGTCCGTTCACTTCCTCATCCACAGATATGAGGCCTCGAGACGAATCTGACACTCAATTAAACGACTTCAACTTTAGTCCAAGGCCTGACTACACGGCCAACTCATCTCCCGCTGACTCCAACACACTTTACAGGTTAGTGAAAGCTGCTGCAGTGATTCCAGGCGAGCTTGTGGATGAAAACCCCTAATCGTCAACCGCTAACCGGGGTTTGTTTACATTAGATTCAACGCGCTGTCAATTAAGACTGAGAGTAACGTTAGAATATTAAGATTCACGAACTAAGACGATAGCAATGCACAAGCATGAGAAGGTCTGGTCAGAAAAAGAATCCAAAAGAGCGTACGACAAATTTAGCAAAAGATGTTAGATATTAAGTACACTTAAAAACACACGCAGACACACACACACTGCTTTAGAACAGCACCGCTTGTCACTACTCGATCCGTACCGGAAACACGATTTGTACTGCGCAGCTGCAGTGATTCCAGGCGAGCTTGTGGATGAAAACCCCTAATCGTCAACCGCTAACCGGGGTTTGTTTACATTAGATTCAACGCGCTGTCAATTAAGACTGAGAGTAACGTTAGAATATTAAGATTCACGAACTAAGACGATAGCAATGCACAAGCATGAGAAGGTCTGGTCAGAAAAAGAATCCAAAAGAGCGTACGACAAATTTATCAAAAGATGTTAGATATTAAGTACACTTAAAAACACACGCAGACACACACACACTGCTTTAGAACAGCACCGCTGTCCTTTGACTCAAACAACTCACGTGACTCCACAGCGCCATTCTGCCGACTGACACCTAATGAATGCCTCGGATCATAGATATGTATACGTAGATGCCTCATTAGCGACTGTTTCTATGGGCCGCTGTCACTGATCTATAATAGAGAACATTATATTATATAGATTATATTATATAGATTAGTGACCGCTATACGTAAACCGTCCGTTGGAAGGGTCAACTTGACGTCATTCGCTCACAATCCTATGGTTCCGCCCCTCTCTCGCATTCTCACCTGTGAAAGGTTATCTCGTTTCTTCGGGAATTTAAATCCCGGCGGTTTTTACAACCATCGGCTGTACTCTTCGAATATTCGTAGATTATTATGGTGAATGTTAACATACACATGTTTAACTATAAAATCTGAAGGTCCGTTTTATGCGCGAATTACTCCGAATTTACTCCTATATTTACGAATGTTTCATGAATAAGGCCCAATGACTTTTCTTACTCAGTATTTTTGTCTTGTTTTCCAGTTCAAATATCAACATTCTTAAATGAAGATATATTTACTTGAGATGGAAAATGACTTAAGATATTAAGTCTTATTTTCTGAAATATCTCCAGTCATTTTGCTTAAATAAATCTTGATTTAAGAATGTTTAGATAATTATACTGGAAAACAAGCCAGAAATTCTGGGTAAGAAAGTATTTTATATTATATAAGTATTATATAGATTATATTATATAGATTAGTGGCCGCTATACGTAAACCGTCCGTTGGAAGGGTCAACTTGACGTCATTCGCTCACAATCCTATGGTTCCGCCCCTCTCTCGCATTCTCACCTGTGAAAGGTTATCTCGTTTCTTCGGGAATTTAAATCCCGGCGGTTTTTACAACCATCGGCTGTACTCTTCGAATATTCGTAGATTATTATGGTGGATGACGTCAGGTTGACCGTTGCTAGATGTCGGACGCTTCTGCGTGCTTGGAGCTGTCGAATGAGGAATCTACCTGTAGATATCTATGCCTCGGACGGCCAGAGACTCGCAGTGTCGAATTCTAGCCATTCAGAGAACGTGGTTCGCTTCCTCTCGACCAATCAAAACATGGGCTTCTTGCTAAATAACTCCCATTTGATTTACAGGCACAAGTTTGCTGCACCTCACACAGGCACGCTACTCTAACACTGTTTCCGCGGGTTTAAGCGACCACAAGAACGTGATATTTAGCCCCTAAAATGCGAATTTTACTAGGGGAACCCCACCATAAAACGTGTATTACGTGTGTAGTTTTGAGTAGCAATTGGGCGGGTTTTGTTGTGAAAACCTGGCAACAGCATGTAACGTTATTTGACATTTCTTTTGGTTATTTGCAGGGGTGACGCTGCGGGTGGGCTAAGGGGGCTGAAGCCCCGAATGTTTTCAGTAAAGCCCCAAATGCCTTTATTACCATGCCCTGTATGTAACTTACGCATCATCACTAAGTTTTCATGCGCATTAAAATAATTTTTATTAGAACCGCAGATTTGCTCTCTGCACATCCAATAGTGTCTGTTGTCATTCACTCCCGACAAGAACCGCCCATTGAGGCTCTACTTTTGACCGACATGTAAACTAGAGCCCATACATAATATATATATACATATACATAACTTTATATTTATATAACCGTACTATTTTTAATTTAGATAATTCGGCTAATGGCAAATGAGACATTTACGATTGACTTGAGTCTGTTGGAATATTTGGCAATTATTTGTCCCCCTCTTTTCTCCTGTTCGTCAAACCATTCTGCCATCTGGTGGATAAAGAAATTTACTTTTTTTTTTGTCAGAAGTGTCATGTGTGTGTCATCAGTCCATCAAAGTTTAATAAATAATGAAATTTTTAAATTACAATTAGAAGGCCAGACTTTACTTAGTCAGTGTTACATACAGCATTTTAGTGTAAAAGTTCTGAGAGGCAATTTTTTATTAATTTTCATGTAGTTCAGGTAAGTGTGACAATAAAGACTATAATGATTTTTTCCCCTAAATAGTGTGTTTAAACGGACAAACAACATATAAATAACTCAGCAGGTCTTCAAAGTGTAATTTATTCGTATAAAATTCTGTAACTTACACATTTCCACATATCCAACACTTCCAAATACATTACTGAGTAATTTCACAACTCTCAGAAACAACATTCATTTTGACCAAAAAAAAGTTCATTTTCACCATTTCCCATTAACCATCTGTTGCCTATAAGGCTAGTGCACTTAAAAAAAAAAAAAAAGAGGCACATTTTTGCATTTCCCATTAAAATGTTTTCCACTAAAGAGTTTTAGTGGAATCAACACAAAATCACTCTTGAATAACAAATTAGATAATTATAGCCACGCTGAAATCAAGATGGA